CCCCTCGTCCCGCCCCGCGCTGCGGCCGCGAACGCGGCCCTCGGCAGGGGGCTCCAGAAGAGGAATAGAAGAGGAAGGAGGAAGGGAAAGGGAAAGGAAAAGAAGGGAAAGGGACAGAAGGAAGGAGAGAAAGAGAGGAGGGAGGGAAGGGAAGGGAAGGGAAGAGGAAAGAGGAGAGGAGAGGAGAGGAGAGGAGAGGAGAGGAGAGGAGAGGAGAGGAGAGGAGAGGAGAGGAGAGGAGAGGAGAGGAGAGGAGAGGAGAGGAGAGGAGAGGAGAGGAGAGGAGAGGAGAGGAGAGGAGAGGAGAGGAGAGGAGAGGAGAGGAGAGGAGAGGAGAGGAGAGGAGAGGAGAGGAGAGGAGAGGAGAGGAGAGGAGAGGAGAGGAGAGGAGAGGAGAGGAGAGGAGAAAGGAAGGCTACCCAAGGATGCCACAGCTTCCTCCCTCATCTGGGCTTTCAGCACATTAAGTCTGTGCTTTAGACAAGAGAATCCAATGAATGTGCAGCTCCCTACCATGGATCCAGGCTCCATAGGAGGAGGAAAGCTAGAATCACAGAATCACAGAATGGTTAAGATTGAAAGGGACCTCTACAGATCATCTAGTCCAAGCCCTCTGCTCCAGCAGGGACACCCAGAGCACATGGTACAGGGCGGCATCCAGGCAGGTTGGGAAGATCTCCAGAGAAGGAGACTCCACAGCCTCTCTGGGCAGCCTGTTCCAGGCCTCTGTCATCCTCACAGTAAAGTTGTTCTTCCTCACATGAAGATTAAACTTCCTGTGTTTCAACTTATACCCGTTAGCCCTCATCCTGTCACCAGCTACCACAGAGAAGAGCCCGGCCCCATCCTTTCTACAATCACCCCTCAGGTACTTGAACATGTTGATAAATCTCCTCTCACCCTTCTCTTCTTCAGACTAAACAGGCCCAGCTCACCTAGTCTTTCCTCATATGACAAAAGCTCCAGTCCCTTAATCAACTTCGTGTCTCTATGCTAGACCCTCTCTAGAAGCTCAATGTCCTTGTTGTCCTGGGGAGCTCAGAACTGCGCCCAGTGCTCCAGGTGCAGCCTCACCAGGGCTGAGTAGAGGGGCAGGATCCCCTCCCTCGACCTGCTGGCAACATTTGAATGGAGGAGGAGGAGAAGGAGAAGGAGGGAAGGTGAGATACTAACAGCAAAGGGGAAGGATTCACCTGGCTTCCTTGTCACCTCCCTTGCTGAGAGATATCTCTAAAGCCAGCTATGAGCTGACGTGTAAGATGGGCCCTGAGCCCACTTGGGCATGGAGGCTGCAGGAATCATCTGTCCTGTTTGCCACCCCCTGTTCACTGCCTTCCCCTGTACAGGTGGGACTTACCCCTGGCTCTGGCAGATCTCCATGTTGGGAAAGTGCCACATTTCCAAGAGTGTAGGAAAAGGATGGTGAGTGGGAGGGCAGAAGGGAAAGGGGCATCTCTCTCTCTCCTGCATCTTGCATCCAACCCGAGTTCAAGCCCTCAGCTTGCCCTGGCCTGACCCAAAGGGGATCAGGCTCTTCCCTGTCCACAGGGTATCCAGCCCACCTGTTCTCCCTTCCCACCAGCCCACCCTAATCCCAGGCTCCCCTTAGGAGGGACCCTCTGGAAGGCCCAGATCCAACATGTGCTGTGCAAGACAGCACTGTGGGGCCCAGTGCAGCCCCCCGCTTCCCTCCTCATCCCAGAAAGTCTCTTCCATAGTGCCCAGCAAAGCAAAACATCTGCTCACCCGCTGCCCTCAGGTGTCCTGCTGATAAAGCAGCTGAAGGGAAAGTTATTAGCTTTTATTCATGGTGTCTAAAGTAAAGTAAAACATCAACAGGGTGACTGTACATAATAATAGACTAGATAAAGTCCATTTTTCTTGGGCCCTCTGAAAGCGATCCCCGAGCATTAAAACTGGTCTCTTAATAAATATCTTATCTCCTCGCCGCAGAGCCCTGGCTGCAGATAACCAGACAGCCATTACTGCACCTCGGAAATGACCCCATTTCCATCAGGGCCATTTCAGACAGGCTCCTCTTTAAGCCCCACTGCCTGCAAAGAGGGGTGAGGGGCAGCTTGGTGGGGGGCCGGGGCTCTTGCTGGGGGCTCCTGTCCATGTGGTTGTGATCAACACTGGCAGGAAGGTCACTGCATTGCAATGTATCCCACATCCCAAGCAAGGCTGCTGCTTTCCCTGGGCTAAATTTGGGGGCAGAGATGAGCCAGGACCAAGGCTTGTCGTCCCTGGCAGTATACCCTGCTGTGTTATGTGAGGTGGCTTGGGTCACGCTATGCAAGGTGACTTTTGGGTGCCCTCGCTGCCACCCTGGGGCACAGAGGTGGCCACTCCCTGCAGGAGGGGACCCACAGCCCAGCCAGGGGTGCAATTTCGGGGCTGATCCCTGCAAACCAGCCAGGCCCTCCCTACAAGTCAAGGGGCAGCTGAGTAGCAGGGGACAGGCACGCAGCCACCCACTACGTCCATGTGGAGCTGCACAGGTTGCACTGGCGCTGGTTTATTAATAACCATACAGGTGATAGTGGTTTTATTAAGTATATTGCTGTGATTTCACATTTAATTTACTAAGAATACAATGGTTTGGGCTAGAGGACCCAAGGGAAATCTAGGCAACAGTGAGCAAAAATCCATGAAATTCAATGTAGCACACTAATCATGGAGGCATTATAGTATTAATTGCTATAATGATATACTTCTAATCCGCTCTTACACCGCGCCACATAATTTCATTGGGTGAGAGAGAGAGAGAAAAAAAAGAATTAAATTTAGTTCAATACAGGCAAGTGTGCAACTTAATAGAGTAGTTTGACTCCTGCACACTCGCTGGTTTAGGGCTAATGGCATTTAGTGCCGGCTGTAGCAGGGAGGCAGGATGGTAAAACGCCTTGGAATCAGAAAACAATAAGGAATATCTGGAAGCAATAAGGAAAAGTGTTAGATTTCGGCTTTTTCGAGAGGCAATCCAGCCATAGAAAGGATAATTAGAATCCGTTGTAAAGATGATTTATCATGTCTATCATTGTGCTTGAAAAGACTAGGTCACCCATGAATGCTGATGAAATTTCAAAGATCTTCTCCCCAAGGACCTCTCGCATCTGCTGCCCTCTGCGATGAGGAAATAGCCCAGGGCAACCTCCTCATTAATAGCGCAGAGAAATATAAGCATTTTGTCAGACATAACATTTTTCTTCAGTATTATACCTGACACGATCCGACCTTTAAATAACGGGGCAATAGGGCTCTCTGTAAAGTTCTTGTGCTTATCTTCGCTGCTCCTTCCCTCGCCAAGTTTTGGTCTAGCAGCAGCTCCTCGCAAACAGCGCTCAGACCCCAAACACTCCTTCCCTCCTAGCAGATACTGAGCGGGGTGGGCGGAGGTGCTAAACGCGCCCTTTGATCCTGTTTGTGTAATCTGCAAAGGGACATCAAAGCGGGACGGGGGAAAGCGGGGAGGGAGAGCGGGAATAGCCCTGGATGCTGCGGCACTGAGGAGCTGCTGAGCGGCTAAATGGAGCCTAATGAGGGGAGCGCGGCCCCCGGGCGAGCCCCGCGGAAAGTCCCGCGGGCCCCCGCGGAGATCCCGCCGCTCCGAGGCGCCGTTTTCCCCCGGCCTGACCGCAGACACCATCCCCTCCCACCCGCGCCCTCCGCTCCTTGCCCCGCACTGCCCTCGTGGTCCCGGGAGGGGACCCCGGGCCTGCGGGGCTGCCTCCCGGCTCCCACCGGGGCAATTCGAGCCACAAGTGGAGCCGGGGAGTCTGTGCCAAAGCGGGGACTTAACCAAGCGCCAGGTCGTGACCTGCCTTGTAGGGGCGGGCTAGATAAGCGACCCCCGCCGCCGTGCTCCCCCCCCAGGGCTCTCCTCGGCCAGGCGGCTGCTGCGCTCCGTCCCTTGTCCCACTGCCCCCACCCAGACCCTGCCCCCCGCGCGGGGAGGCTGGAGACGCCTCCTGCCAACCAGCGGTGAGGGTCGGGAAGGAAAGGCTGACACCGCTTAATGAAAGGCTGTTGCGGGCGATCTTCTGCTCAGTTGTCCGCGGCTGGGAGGCGGGGGCAGCTCTGTGTTCAAGCTTTTTT